CCTCCAAAAGCAAATGCTGGATAAAAAAATTCAAGTATTCTGTACGTGTTAATCTGTTGTCGACAAAGAAAGGCCCGATAACTTGTCTGCCAATAACTCCTCTCAAAAGATTCAAGCTCGATTTATTTTGGAAATCTATTTGCCTAACCCAGTAAGGGTTTTCCGTCGCATGATAGTGGATGTTATGCCTGTTGACAACACCTATGCTGTTAAAAGTTGCCTCATCGTTAAAAAGAACCTTATCCAGGAAAGTAGTGTCTTCATTCACTTTATTTAGCATTATTCTACTAAACTCCATTCGAGCTGCGAAAACCTGAGGACGAAGGCCTTGATGCAAGCATAGGTGATATGGATGGTATCTATGCTTGTGAATAATCCTTTGGACAGAAGTTCTGCTACAATTTGCCGTACACTTAAATGGGAATTTTCCTGCAACTTTAATAGAACCTCCACTTGATTCAAAACTTTCTCCCAGTGTGGAATATGTTTCCGGCCTTGTTAGGGTACCGTTGCTTATAAATGCGAGATGTTAGGAAACTATTTCTTTGGGCTTCGCCCAAAACGAACACCATATTCACCATTTCTTCTTTAGAAAAAATCATTTTCGAACACGTTTTTATTATAATGCTCACAAAGCTAATTTTGACAGTTTGTAACTAATCAATAATTTATTTGTTTCCAAGGATGATGCGATATTTTAGGGAATTAAGCCGTTCTATAAAAGACGTGCTAATAACCGAAAAAATAGCCGTAAAAGCCCTTGTGTCTAGTATCAAAAAAAGCTTATAAAAAATTGGCTCCGAACTTGCACAAATATAAAGATGCATTTGAAATTTTTGAGCTGAGGTGAGTAAGTTTTTTTAATACAAAATTCAGCACTCCAATTTTCAAAATGGCGGACTGAGGGGTTGCTGAAGTGGGTTTTTTTTTTCTATACAAAACACCTTATATTTCCATAGCTAATTACCAAAACCCCACAGTATGTTATATCAGTTTTCTTCTTTTGAATTGGTTTATCTAAGTATGCAATAAAATTTGAGGCATTCCATTAGAAAAATCAGAACTTTGATATGTAGTTCGAAATTGGAACACCCTGTATAATGGCCAATAAGGTACCTAGGTCGAATATGGCCACCTTAAGGTTTCTTAACTTTTTTCTAGAATAATAAAGATAAAAGAAACAAGTCAAAGTAGTTGTCCATGAAGACTGAATATTTAACTTTATGATGAAGGCAGAAAAATACAAAGATATTAAATGATAGAAATATTTTCAACAGTTTGAAAAAAAATTGAAATTTGGCCATATTTCCGACGGGGTAGGTAAATATACCCATATATGTGGCCATATTTACGGTATATATTATTTTAAATAGCTTCTAAATAAGTGAAATAAAAATGGACATTAGATTTTAATACAACTTTATTTAAAAGATATTGTTTAGGCGACATCCAGTACATTATCATTGTCGTGGTTAGTCCAGACTGCACCGAGTGCATACAAATTTATCTGTATCTTCTTTTGTTAATCCAACACAGTCCTCATGGACATATGTTTCACATAAAAAGCATATTCTCATGTCTGCTATTCTGTCCTCATTTCAAACATAACAGTACCATGAATCTTTAGATTTTTCAGATTGTCCTTTACCACGTGACTGTTTAGACATTTTCTTCGGAGTTACTGCTTCACTGTTGTTCCTTTTAGCAGAATATTTTCTTTTTTGGTAAGCCACTTTAAATGGGCCTGGTATATTTTCTATTTTTTGTTTAGGAGCATTTGATGGTCCTGACATGTTATTTTTATCTGTAAACATTGATTTTGTTAGCGCCTGTGCGAGACTATTGATAGCTTTTGCCCTCGGAGCAGTTTTTGGGCTTGTCGTTTTCTCTGGAGTTTTTAACATTTGACACAAAGATGTATATGACTCATTAAGTGTTGTGGAGCAGACTACATTTAATTCAGTTTTTGACTCGATATTATTGTTATGTTGCTTTAGTTTGGACAAAGGAATGTGATCGCTACTGTCGTAATCGTCATAAACACTTGGCAGGGGTTCTATAAAGTTCGATATATCTTCTTGATTTGGGTGCTGTGGATGATCATCAGAGGCGTTGTCTGGAGTTGCAGCACAACGCTTTGCTTGGCTTGGCTGTGAATCTGAGGAATCATTTGATGGATTTGAATTACCGTTGTCTTCATTTGGGAGAGGATAAGGAGAATTTCCACTGGCATCAGTAACGTCGCTTTCATTAGTATCTTCATTTTCCTGAGGAGGAATTAACAGATTTGTAGCGTCGCTGTCGTTAGTATCTCCATTTTCTTGATTTTCAGAAGGAGAAGCTCCAGGTTCTGCGAAATTATGAGTAGGTATGCTGGGAGCGTATACTTCTTCTGGAATCCTATCTGGATTGAATGGGAAAATTCCGGTCGCTTCAAATCCAGCTTTGACATTAGCAGGTGTCGCAGCTTTATCCCACACTTTGGAAAATAATATCCCAAACCTTTGTTTGGTTATTTTCCTGTCCTCGTGAATAGACCAGTATTTTAAAACTTCTTCATCCCAGTAATATTCAAAAGAACGAAATACTGATTTGTCCATGGGCTGCAATTCATGTGTGGTGTTGCTCGGGAGACAGAAAAGCTTGATGTCGAATTGTTCTGCTGCTTCAACTATCGAATAGTCTAAGTGGCACTTCGCTCCATCCAAGATAAGTAAACAAGGTCCTGGCAATTTAAATTTTGCAAAATGGTGTGTCCAGTTCACAAATGTTTCAGAATTCATACTCCCTTTGGGTGTCATTTGGGCTACTGAACCGGTGGGTAACGAATCTACCCATTCTGGCTTCATTTGTTTGCCCTTAAAGAGTATCATGGGCGGAATGACATGGCCTAAAGCGTTGCCACATGAAACTATTGTTACATTCTCGCCGTGTTCGGGTGCTACCAAATGTACTCTCTTGGATCCACGTTCAGCCAAAACTTCTGGTGATTTGTGCAAATTAAGCTGGCAACCTTTTTCGTCAATATTATAGATATTATAGATTTGTTCATAAGGTCATTTTCTACTAAGATTTTCTTCAATTTACTAAAATAATCGGAAACTACTGCTTTATTCAGCTTTTGTGCCCTTGCGGGGTTTAGGTTCTGTGCTTTTCGTCTACTGATATTCCTATGACGTTTTAAAAATCCTCTCAGCCAATCTCGTCCCACCATCAAGCCTCCACTTGGCGCTGGAATGTTATTTTGATCACAGAATGTCTTCACGCATCTACGAAGTACACGCTGTGTTAATGGATATCCCACATTACACAGACGAATAATACGGGATTCCAAAATCTTTTCATCTTTAGGGTTAAGAAGTGGTTTCCGGCCCAAAGTAGATTTGGTCTCTTTGTTTTCTTGTAAATAACGTCTCGGAGTGCGTCTTGGCACATTATAATGCTTGGAAGCCGTATAAATTTTCATTTTACCACTTCTGACTGCAGCTAAAGCTAATTTCATATTAGCATCTGCCCAGTTACTTCGAAGTCCTTTACATTTATAGCGTGCCATGGTCTAAAACAAAAAACAAAAAAACGTGTCAGCAATTCAGTAAGTACTGTTAATATGGCCAAACGGTGGCCATATTTGCAGTCATCCAAATTTTTTGTTTTCATATTCACGAATGAAAAACACACTATTACTTTGATAAATATACAAAGAAATATGAAACTACAATTATTACACAACATCGTAATGTGAATAATAAAGATTTATAATGAAAACAACGTTAAAATACAGGACAATACTTACTTACTGTTTTTATAACCTCAACACTGCTTTTCACTATAATGACGGCTGAGCGGCTAACGCTTGCACGGATGGGTGACAGGTAGGCCGTTCGAATACATGCGACACTAGCGACAATTTAGGGTCGCGTTCAGCTCATAACAAACTTTCGTGTTTGGGAAAACGGTATGTGGCCATATTTACAGGCTGGCCATATTCGACCTAGGTACCTTATTTTAGAAATGTGTCCTCTAATGTCATGTATAACATCCCATAAATAGATTTTTCCAAAATGTTTTTGTTTATGAGTAATAGTCCGTTCACACATGGATGGACCTTATATATATGAATAAATGAAATAACGGCACATAAAAACAGACTAAAATCATGCGAATTCGCAAAGCGAAATGTCAAATGTAGAAATCAATACAAAAAAAATTACAATATGTTATTATCATCAAGATATTCAAACCCGGAGTAATATCCTTTCTTTATCAACAGTGGCTTAATTTCTTTTTTAAAATTGTATGTGCTGGCCTGCTTGGTTCTGTTAGGCAACTTATTATATTGTTTTATGTGCATGTACCTAGGACTAGATTCCATTGTGGACAACTTGTTTGCTGGAATATCCAAGTTTAGGGAATTTCTTGTATGTTTGCTATCCGTCTCTGTGACCATAACTAACCATAATCAACGTGGTTCCATGCTTTTTAGCAATCATCAGTACTGTATAGGTCTAGTCACTGGATACAGATGACAGAAAACAAACGGAATATGGTAGTGAGCGAAGATGTGACACTGCCACCTCTAGTTCGCCAAACGTGGTTCCACCGACCCCTACATAGGTACCAGGAAACTACAGTTTTCCGGCAACTCAGAATAACCGTTCGCTTCGATAAAACGGAAAAATGTCGCCTATCAGTTAGGCGTCTCGTCACTCAATGGAACACTAAGTGCTCACCGTGGTACCAGCTTTGACATACTATGCAAAAGTTGTATAATAAGAAGTAACTGGATAAAATGATCCTGATGTATTATGTTAGTTTAGAAAGTCCTCGTATTATTTGATAATAAAATCAGTGATTTCGTAATTTTTGCTCGGCCTTTTATCTGGAAAACGAGGCAATATCTCTAAAATCGTCAAAGTCTTGGAATTACCCTTTCCATTTTCTTCTCATGTTTTTGAAACACCCTGCATAGTCTTTATGTTCTTTAATTTCTTCATTTGCAGGTATTACAAACTTTGATTTGTTGGGAGACTTCGGCAGTATCGAATGGTTGGGCAACTTCAAACTGGTACTTCTTTACAATCTCTCCTTCGCCACGGCTGCTACAGCATGCGTTTTCAACAAGTTCACTGCGAAAGTACGTAGGGAACTGTATGCTAGGCTGGTGGAAAATTATCTATTTCTTACAAACTGCGTCTCATTTATCAATTAAATTTCATGAAAATATAAATACTGCTGTAATTGTGGTACATAATACACTTGCTAATACTGGGTGTCCCAATCGTACGAAGACGGAGTATTACTCATATAAACAAAAACTTTTTAAAGAAAACTATTTAATGGGTTATTAGATCACTTCAAAAATCTACAAATATTACCACTTCCATCAATTTATATTTTCGAAGTTCTATGCTATGTGCGCAGAAACTTAAACAAATATCAAACCTCTGCAGAAATACACACCCATTCACTGCGTAACTTTAATTACCTTAGAAACTCATACTTGCGTCTGAATATGACTAAAAATAATAGTCCTAACGTTAAATTATACAATTTAGTCGACAATCCGAATAAATAACATATTTTTGAAAATACGTCTGAAGGTTTGCTAAAAAAAATTGCTCAATCACTGTTTTTATTCAGTTGATGAGTACGTGGATGCTATGGCGTCACTCGGATATATAATGAAGAAGTTTGTAAGAACGCACATGCACATTGTATATACGAGTATATACATAATGCGGTTAATAAATGGTATGGTATGGTATATATGATATTTAGGGGCACATTTTGAAACCATTGCTGTCACACATATCAAAGTTAATTTCTTTTAAATGGAATTCCTTACTGTTTATCATTTATTCGGATAGACCCTTTTAAAAGAAACATATTTATATAACCTGCATATCTGCTGTCTTGAGAGGCAGAGAAGTGAATTTTGTGTCACAAAATTTTTACTGTACTCACTTTTAACCTGATTCATCCGTTTTTTTTTATTTTTCGAACAATCTACACAAAATATAATTTTGTTCATAAAAAAATGGAACACCTTGTGTATTTTAACATTTTTACATTCCACTTTTTCCCCTAATATAAAGGTCAAGGGGTCTTGAATGACCAGTTTTTCAGTTAAATCATCATTGATTCAAATACTTTTAGAATTCAAAGTATTGTTTCTGTCAAACTTTAACATATATATATAAAATATAACACATTCCATGTTTATTATGAAATCCATCTTTCAGTATTCAGTTTCATCACATAAACATGGACTGGCTTTAACTTCATGGAAAACGTTTAGTTTTAATTTTGCTAAATCTGCTATTACTCTTTTGTTTTCATGGATAATACACTTTTTGTCCGTAATGTACAATTTACGAACAGTTTTAAATAACTCAAAAGCTTCATACATGATGACAATTGAGCTTGATATCAGGGAAAATCTTGTTTAAATTGGAATGAAAGATGTGCAAATATACAGGGTGTTTAATTTAACTTTTACTCTATAGTGAGTATTTAAAATATTAAAAAATGGATATATTAATTAGGGTAAAATTGAGAATAATGATAAAATCCTGACACAAAACTCACTACATCATCTGTCCACATGACAGATATGCAGGCTGTCAAGCCTTTGGTATTTTTCTATATAGAATACCCAATAGCTCAAGAACTTATAATCAAAACCTCCTAAGTATGTTACATCAATCATCTTTTTTGAGGAGGACCTATCTGAATATATAATCAAAATTAGGGCATTCCGCTTAAAAAATCAACTTTGTATGTTGGTCAAAATTATAAATAGTTCTTTAGCAGTTACTCCGTCCTTGCACGCTTGGGACACCCTGTTTATATTGTATCCAACAGGAGAAATTATTCGACAACGCCTTGCCAAGAAAATGGATCGCGGAATTTTTAGGCTTTGGCGAAAGTTCTCTGTCAGAGTTTTTTCGATTCCAGTTTAAAGTTTTAAACGTGTCGAACTTCAGCTTGTAAGCTTGTATAAGTGGAAATAATGTTCTTTCGCCGTATTTTTATATATACCATATTGAGTTTATTCTTCTGTGCTATACAAAAATTTCCTGTCATAATGGAATAACGCTTACAAAACATCAGGCATTCATATTTCCACAACATACCTGGAATATTTAGAATTTAGGATTGTCCGTGATATAATCACAGTTTTTTTAACAACCATTTTATGATTTATTTTAGAGGATAATTCACCAGAATGCAATCGGATATTAATTTTTCAGAAAATCATCTGTTTAATTGATTTTGGCCGGATACTTTAACTCATACAAGTTTACATGATTTTTTATACGTTTTGTTACTACGTCAATTCGTATAAGACACCTTTATCTAATTTTTATTATTTGCATAAAATATTTCTATTTTAACAGGGTGTATATAGAATTATCGTGTCTATATTAAAGGCCAGTTATTGAGTCTGACCTTACTGTTCGAAAGCTAAAGACTATTTTCTAAGTTTACCAAAAGAGACATAGTATAAAATGATAATGGCACCATTTAGTATTGCACAGCTGTGAAATGCAAGACTGCGATGAGCGTATTAATGTGATATATTTCATACATTGTATTATATAATAATGTATAACAGGTACCTATTTATTTTAATTAGAGCACCTCAAGACCTCACCTATCTTCGTACGTATGTTAAGATTTTTTGGCTCATCTTTTGTAAATATTAAGCGATTTAATTTTTTAATGGTCACAATTAGTTGTCTTTTATTATTCATGTAGTCTATTATATTTTTTTGTTGTCCACGTGAAAGTATGATAAACCATGTAGGTTAAAGACTGAGCATGTATTTGTATGAACTTTTATAAATAAATGCATGTAATTGAAAAACGATATGTTTACGTTGATTGATTATATTTTATCACCAATCTTATTTGACAAACTTTTACCTCTTCTTAAAATGTACGTTTTATTTTTTTTTAAATATAGAAGGAATTCAGGAATATTTTGAAGAGTTGTAATATAATTATCTCACTGCTTACCAGTTGCTCATTTTCTATATCGGAGGTAACAGATTGAAGTGTATTTAGGGTATTCAACTATCATACATTTCAAAAAATTTCCGTAACTTAACCATAAAATTAACGATTTTGAAAAATAATCGCCGTTTTGAGCTTGACAAACTTTAGAATTTTGATAATGAGTGTTTATTAACAGTGCCTTATAATTTGTGTGAATGATTCACCTTAGGTAAGTGTCAAACTGTAATATCAATCTTCTAGTGATGCGTCATGAGTGTACAATTTTGATTTATATAAAAAATAAATTTTTGTGTATATTTATTTTCATTCTTCCTATGCTTTAAAAGCAGTCACGAATTCATTACCACGAATTGCCCGTGTTCAAATCACGTGAATTTTTTCCAACTTTGAATGTTGTTCGTAAGGATTCGTACGCAGCAAACGGTATGTTTGTGTCAAAAAACTAGTTCTTTGAGTCTATTCGTGTGTGGAGTATCTTCTTTTCTAACCAAGTCGCATTATGGAATTATCACTCTATCGCATATGACGATTTTTGTCTTCGAAAAATGTAGCAATGAATCTGTTGTGGTATCTCGTTCCGAGCAAGGGGGTGATTTTTCTGTAACGGTAAAAAGTGTGCCAAACATCTAAGGGACGCGTTTTCGTGTTTTCTCAAAAATTGTATCCATCATTATCACCAATTTATTACTCTGCTATTGGAGAGTCGGAGTAAACCTCAAAGAAAATTAACACTTCTTTATGTAAAACAAAAATAGTTTGACTTCCCTTCAAAAAACCAATAATTCTACTTATGTGTATGTTACTTTGTTTAAGATTCGGCTAAAAAACTCTAATTCCGTATCGTTTAAATACTGAGCTAACCTACGAATTTAATGAACTTTGAAAAGTTGACGAAAGGCCTGTAGAAATTATGATTTATATCATGAATGAATTGGGTCGATCTATTCGATTATCTTTATTTCAACAATTTTTCGAACTTTAGAAATACTGACTTCGTATCGATTGTCTTTCTATCTTTATTAAAAATTCAAATTCAACAAATATTTTTGAGGAACCGTCAAAAAACCCCTAGAAATTCATACTCATATCAGTGAGTCAGTCTACTCGATGTTTCCATCTGAATGCCTTTATTGTATTTTACTTTTACCTTAAGGCAATATAGATTATTTAAGCAAGATAAAAATCTAGATTTCCATATATCTCGGAAACTACTCATTTAAAAAGTTGACAACCTTATACAGAATTAACCTTAATTTCAATGTTTAATGCGATGAAATCATATAATAGGTGGTTTCCACGTGGAGTTTTAAAAGTCCGTAAAAATGTTATGAAAATTTGGGTATATAGTATTTGTATAGTGCTTATATCTGACGCATGCCTGTGATGCTATTATTCGTTTTCTTTTTTTTTGTAAATAACACATGCGCCAACAGAAATTGATACTTCAGTTATATTTTATTCTAGGAAACTCATATTCATATTTAAATTCCCCTTCCTCGAGATATACCTGTAAAAATATGTGATGATGGCCCGTCAAAATAATGTAAATGAGCTTAAGAGATAGTGATGTCTAAAAAATTGCTCCCTGATGGTTCCACTTTTTATTACATTAGCTAATCCGAATATTTTGAAAAGTAATTCAATGTTTTTCGCTGCTCCGTCTGTTTCATGGAAAGCATTTTGAATAATTTGCTACTTTGAAGTCTGGCAAAGCATATTTAAGTAATATTCCTTTTTTTCAGCTCTCTGTAGATGGGGGCAATAAGAAAATCTTTTTTGTTGTATGAATTGCGTAACCGCACTGGTACTAACAAAATTTTCTCATAAGAAATAACGTTGTCTGAACATTGCCGAAATCATGATACAAAAGAAGGTAGGTTCGGTATTCCCCCAAGATTATCGTCCCCTTAACCTGCTGCCTGATCCTTCTAAGTTCGCTGAAAAGGTGATTTATCGTCATCTTGAAAATTTCTCGTCAGATCACCATGTGATTCCTGGTGGACCATGTAACCAAGGGGTTTCCCCTCAACAAAAGTACTGGGATCTTGCTTTTAGATGTATTAAAGGCATTTGACAAGGTGTGACACATGGGCCTCTTGTATAAGCTCATCCAAAAGGGCTTTCCATTTTCGCTACCAAAACTGTTGAAATCTTTTCTAGGAGGAAGGAAATTTTGGATCAAAATTAATAATGTTTTGTCAACAACATAGAGCCGGTGTTCCTTAGGGATCGGTCTTAAGACCAATCCTTCATTCACTTTATATACATGACATCCCTTGCCCCAGCGACTGTGAAGTATATCTCTATGCACTAGTAACCCAGTCGTGGTAAGCTGATTCACGACAGGCTGCAGAGTGCGGTGGAGGAAGTATTGAAGTGGGCGGATCGGTGACTGATCAAAGTTAATTCTAAAACGCAGGCAATCTATTGTACTAAAATACGTCGTGGTGCCTCATCAGAGATATCAGTGAATGGAACTCGTATACCATGTTAACAATCTGTCCGGTACCTTGGAGTCATCATTGACATGGGGTTGACCTGGAAGAAACATACAAATATTTTGATAACTAAATTCCACATTACGTTTCGGCAGCTTTATCCTTTGTTGTGCAGAAATTCAAAATTAAATTTGATCAACAAGATTCGGTTATATAAAATGGTCATAAGACCCGCAATGCGCGACTTGGTGCTTTCTTGTCAAGAGACACATGCAGAGACAGAACCCTAAGCACAATCACCAACGCCCCGTGATACGTGTCAAATGAGACCATTCACAGAGATCTTGATATCCTATATCTAAGGGATTTTGTAAAACAACAACGGCGTTATAATCAAGCCGAATCGCACAGCAAACCTCTGTTGCGTGATACAGTAGACTATACAGCCAGTTCGCAAACATTCCAGGCCGCGCCTTGCACTGTGATCAAACTTGAATTGTGAATTTCAAACCGCCCAAAATTATTTCAGAATTTAAAACCGATAAAAAATACGTTTTGGAGTTACAAAATTATTGGAGTAGTCCAAACCAATAATGCCTAAGCTATTGCAAATGATTTACTTCTTTTCTTTGCTCTATTTCTTCCTTCTTTCCCTTTTCCCCTTAAACATGTTTGATATCTGGGTAGCCAGACCTGACAGACTAACAGACCGACGATACTTTTAACTAAGAGCAAAGGTCCACCGGACCGCTCTGACAAATAGTCTGTTTGACTCACTTGATCCGTTTAATTCCTCTGTTTTAGACATGTTTGTAGCTAACCTTTTTTCCCACAGAACATAATTTTGCAGTCGGCCTACTTGACGCCATTTTTGTTTGGAATGAGCGAAAAAATGACAGGAGCGAAAAACTTAATAATAATAATAATAATGCCTTTATTAGCTGCAGTGAGGCGAAGTTTAGCCAGACGGCTACTCTTGCACCCAACCCCACAACAGGAAAAAAGAATACTTAAACACATAAACAAAATAATAACATACCAAAAAAATACAATTCATAAGAATGACAACATTGATTGCACGAGACAAATGCAGATAGTATTGCGAGTTTTAAATTTGAAACAAAAATAGTAGAAAATAGTCAAACAAAAAAAAGCACATGAACACAAGAAAAACTGAACTAAATGGACTCCAGCAGCTGACTTTTCATTAATTTCTTAAAAGAAGCAACCTGTTTGGATCGATAGCCACTGTTGACTGCATTGTAATGCTTGACAGCATTATAGGTGTAACTTCTTTCAAAGACCGAGGTATTGTGAGAAGGCATGTTAAAATTAGCATTAAATCTAAGAGCTCTGGTAACAAAACTACCTCGGTGAACTAATTTGCTAGCGAGGTAAGCTGGTCTGTTAGATAACAGAACTTGGGTGAAGACGGTCAAAAGATATAAAAATAACTTGTCAATTCTCAACCAGTTGAGTTCTTTGATTTTATCAGACGCGACTAAATTTGCGCAATCCAAAAATAAACCTACAACAGTTGTTCTGAATTTTCTGGAGTTTCCTTTTGTAGACGTAGTCTAAACATGGGTAATAAAAAACAAGAGAGTAAGAAATGACAGACAACACAAGACTTTCAGCGAGCTTCTTTCGGGTTTTAAAATTCAAGATGAATCGATTAGAATAGAGGAGTTTCAAACGCATGTACGTTACTCTAGATAAGAAAGAGACATGCCGATAGAATCTCATATTTAAGTCAAGGGTAACACCGAGATTCTTGGCGTAATCCACAAAAGGGATGAGTGTCTCATCCAAAACAACACAAATCCTCTGCTTCATGTCACTGTAGGAGTTCTTCGAACAGTACAACATTGCAGTAGTTTTATTAGGATTGATCTTCAAGCAGTGTTTGTTACAGTAATCACTGATGTTAGCCAAATCTAAATTAACTTTAAAAGAAGCTTCATCAACCCTTGATGGATTGAAACCAAACACTAACTGAGTATTATCTGCATAAGTTTGCATACTACAGTGGACTAAACAGTCTTCCAGATCGATCGTATAAATCAGATATAGTAGGGGACCTAATACTGAGCCCTGAGGAACTCCTGAAGGAACTGGCTCAGAGGAGGAAATTCCCTGATCAGTTTTCACTGTTTGTTGAGGATTTAGCAAGTATGACTCAAAGAACCTTAGAACTATATCTGACATTCCATAATGAGATAACTTACTCAGTAGTATCTGGTGATTGACCATATCAAAGGCTTTCGAGAAATCTAACAGTACCAAGACGGTGTTGATGTGATTATCTAAATTGTGAATGATGGAATCAGTAAGATGTAAAAAAGACGAAGTAGTGCTGTAACC